CTCCCTCCCCATCTGTATATCCACCTACCTGTGTATGTACGATTACGTGTGCGTGAACATACCTAGGCCCGCTGGTGTGGCTCTGTACCTTTGCACTCGAGTTCTCGCAAGAGGCCCCTTCCTTGCATCCTTTACGGCTGCGCATCCTCCGGCTCGAGGTGAAACGTGTTCAAACACACAACTTGAAGAGCCTCCAAAGATGGAAAAGGCAGCTCCTACCCTGACAAACTCAAGGTCATTCATATAAGGGCCTTAATAATTAGCATAGGGTTTTGGGCCCATTATACTACAAGTATAATAGGGACCCCCCCCAAAAACAAAAAGTGTTGGTAATTATCTAGGCCCCTACATTCATGATTTTGATGTGAAATCCACTAGCCCGGAACCTCAAATCCGACGTTGTCTTAGTGGGAACGGACGATACCCACGCATACCTTGATGAGCTCCGCAGTATACCATGCTACGAATACATTGAACCGTCATGCACGAGTGGTCGAGAGGAGACATGCAGCTGAGCCCTACACATTTCTTGAGGCACGGTCTCACCTTTCAGTAAACATCATTCAAAATTCAACCCTAAAATCCCACCCTAAAATCCTTTTGCAACTGGCCTGCTGCGACTCTCTAAGACCAAGCACTCCTAAAGTCTCAAGTCTGCCTCCCACCCCTTTGTTTGGCTGCTCTCCGGCTCCGACTCATCGGACTTGCTGTACAGGCTCGGCGCACCACCGTTCGGCCTCTTGGCGATCGAAAAAGAAGGCGACGCCACTCCTTAGGGTAGGGTTTAGGGTTTGGGGTTCAGGGTCTATTCGGGCTTAGGGTTCTGTGTTTGCCTGGGCTGATGTGGACATGTGTAAGCGTTTCCCTGTAGCAATTTCGTAATGAAAGGTACGACGATGACCTTAAACACTCCCTGATGGAGACTGTGCTTTCTGTTTGGGATGTAAGTGGTACACATTGTATGAGGCCTCAACCTGACAGAAACCGATGAGAGCTGATAGCTCGCGAGTACATTGAAATTTCTGCAGAGCACACGCGAAAAACCAAAAAAGCTCGGGGCATTGGGTTCAGGAAGATCCGGTGCGAGACCTACCCGTGTTCCCTTCGAACCTGCCGAAAAGAAAAACAAGAAAAGAGGAAAGCAATCGCGAACGATGCTACTCAACGCTTGCTGCTAACGGCCCTCTTGAAAGTTATTACTATGTTACTAACACTAGGCAGCCCTAAACCCTAAGCCCCTAATAGTAATCCCTAGACCCAGACCCTAATCCAAAACCCTGTGTATAACTTCTAATCCCTACACCGACGCAGAGTTGCTGCTTCGCCAGGCGGGAGATCATCTGGGCCAGAGCCATCAGAGGTCTTGGACCAAGCACTGCCTGTTTTCTTTTTTGAGTGTGTTTAGGGTTTAGGGTTCATGTTAAGCAACATAATTTCAATTGGCATAAGCAGGAAGCTCTCTAATTTACTATAGATCCGTATTATGGTAACTTGACGTAAGGTCCTTAAAAGCAACCGAGCTGCGGTATGAAGGATCCTTCCGCCGTCCTCGGATCTTTCTTGGGGGAGGCTTTGGGGTTCGGGGGGTACCTTCAGGGGTATTAAGGGATACTATGCTGGCAAGGGATAGTGTGGGGGTACCTTCAGCACTCACATAAGGGCGGTTTCAGGGTTTAGGGTTCAGTGCCTGTGAAGGCCTTCTGGACCTGGGAGTGCTAGGGTTTGGAACACCTGATGCACCGGCTAAAGCAATCTAGGTGTTCAGGACTTGAGGTTTGGAAGGTGACTGGGCTTGGGAATTAGATTTAGCTAACTAACGTGCCCAAGCCTGAATCAGCGAGTTACTCCTAGGCTTTGAACTTGTCAAAGGCTGTGCAGGCCTTCTGCAGGAAGTTCACAATGCCGGGCACGGCCAGAGGCGAGCATCCCATTCCGCGCCTCATGTCGATGAGCGCTGTGCACTGGACGGAGTCGCCGAACTCTGTGATGGCCGTGCCTTGAACGTGCTATTGTGAATTCCTTCCTGCCACTTTTCTAGTTCAAAAATGAGAGGCGATGGATGATGTTGAATGCGATAGGCGATAAACCTTGCTACTTCGGTGTCCGGCTTTGAGAAACCCCGGAAAAACAGTCACAAGTACCATCACAAGCACCCATGTTCAGTTCGCAAGCCGCGGACAACGACTCTTCTATGCAGGAATACGTAGCCCCAGACCAAGACAAGAGTGCTTCAAGGTGCTGCAGTCTTCGAGCATCTTCCTTGTGTTGTCGGAGGTTCCCAAACCATTCAGCTCAAACTCCAGGCGTCCATCCTGCCAAACCAGCAGCTCACATCGGCCCAGGTTGTCCTTGTACCTCATCTGTTGGAGCTAGGGCCGCTAGGGTTTCAAACCCATTGCAGCCGTAATGCGCAGACCGTCTGGCCCCCGAGTAAGTATTGCTTTGGAAGACATTGGAAGACAAAACGCCCAAAACACTTATTTCATCCCAAACCCTTATCAGGAAAAACCAAGTAGCGTAGAATTCACCTTGGGCCTCTCGAGGACCACCGCGCAAGCACTGGCGAGTGCTTTCCGGGCGAGCACTACCTCCCTGAAGGTAGCCAAATCCTCTCATGCAACATCATCAACAGCATCAGCTATCACCTTGGTTCACTGCCTCTTGGGTCTCCACAAGCTCGTTGTTCATCATGAGGAGCTGCTGCTGATGATGATGTTGCTATAGAATAAGAGTGATGGTGCTGATGATGCTACTGATGGACCTGAAGATGAGAGCGATGATTATGCGATGCTGATGACACGAACCAACATGAAAATGACAAACAACGCCGCTGCAGCTGTAACAGAAGCAGTATGAAGCAGTCGTTGCAGAAAGAGTGAAGCAGTAGTAGTACTAGTGGTAGTAGTCGTGGTCGTCGTCGTCGTCAGTAGCAGTAGCAGTAGCAGTAGCAGTAGCAGCAGTAGCAGTAGCAGTAGCAGTAGCAGTAGCAGTAGCAGGAGCAGGAGCAGCAGAAGCAGCAGCAGAAGCGGTGGTGGTAGTGGTAGTAGTAGTAGTCGTCGTCGTCGTCGTCGTAGTGGTAGTAGTAGTAGTAGTAGTAGTAGTAGCAGCAGTAATAGTAGTGGTAGTGGTAGTGGTGGTGGTAGTAGTAGTAGTAGTAGTTGTTGTTGTTAGTAAGAGTCTTGTAGTCGTCGTCGTTGTCGCAATCGCAGTCGCAGTCGCGGTCGAATTTGCCGTCGCGGCGGTAGTAGTTGTCGTAGTAGTCGTCGTAGTAGTAGTAGGAAGTAGCGGTACTGGTAGTGGTAGTGGTAGTGGTAGTAGTAGTGGTAGTAGTAGTAGTAGTAGTAGTAGTAGTAGTAGTAGTACCAGTAGCAGTAGTAGAGTAGTCGTAGTCGTGGTAGCCGGCAAGCCCAGGAGTAGGAGGAGGGCAGGGGTGTCTACTGTGAATATATGGACGGTCGCGGGTTTCAGTCGTCAATGAGTTTCAACTACGACTCTGGCAAAGGGCTGCGGGACTTGCGGATTGAACTGCTTTTTCTTCGGTGGGGTGCAGTTTTGTGCTTGTCGCATCGGACGTACTGCGGACTAATGACCCCTGCCACCTCACCGCTCAAACCAACTACACGGGGTCCGGTCCCGGTCAACGACAACAACAAACTAATCCTTCCTACTGCTGCTACACTTTGTCACCATCACTAGTTGTCATGAGCCGGGCAGCAATCTCAACAGCAGCATTAACAACAGTAGCAGCATCATGAGTACTCTTTTTGCCAAGTTCAGATACTGGTTGGAATATATGTAAGCGTGACAGCAACGCGGTGCAACTCCATCTAAACAGCTCAGCCTGAAGATGCAACGAGGTATGACTATACAGTATACAGGCTATACATAGTTGCATCAATACATGCATACGACCTGCATGCATATATACATACAGACATACACACATTCATACTTACCTGACTTACTTACATCAATACATTCATTCATGCATCCATTCATTCATCCCTGCATGCACGCCTTCATACAGATCTGTACATGCACGAGGACAGCATAGGTGGTGCTGGACCCTCTTTCAGGCTGCTGGGGCTGGAATTGCAGCTTCAGGAAACATGTTGCGACATATGCTCGCAGCCTACGTCTCTTGTCCAGGGGCCTGTATGTTAGGTGACTGAATTTCAACTTCACCTCAAAATCAGAAGTATGGTCCTTCCCGATGGCGCTTTCTGCCATGCTGCTCAGTCGTCGGGATTGGAACACTCGTCGCAAAAGGGAGGGCGTTTTCAGGCTCATCTGCACCTAGGCAGCACAGAGGAAAGGAATCCTACTGCCCGTACCCTGCGTACAACTGACCTTGAATTGTATGGAGAGAAAACAACCTTCCGGAAGGTTCCAGGAACCGTCACACGGCAAGCCGGCGTTCCAGCAGAAGGAGGCAGCTCTTGGAACTTCGCAACGCCCGCATTCTTCATGCCGCTGGTGCTTTCCCAACCGATTAGCTTCGAAGGGACCTGTCGGGTGATGTCCGCTGTCCATGAGAAACTAAAGCCGAGAGCCTGGAGGGACCAGGTGCTTGACTGAGTGTTGTCGTGCACTTCGACCTTATGCGTCCAATGATCTTGTACACCAGTTCAACTTCTACCAAAGCCAGAGCTTCATATAGCCAAAAGCAGTTATACATTCTATATGAAAGGCCCATTGCAATAGCAATGCCTCCAAGAAACCTCAGACAGCAAAGATGACCACTCTGGGTGGTTCGGCAGATGTGCGTAGATGTCGTACGCTTCTGACGCAGATGCACCCTCTATGTCGACACTGCTGCCTGAAGCCAAGTTCAAGTTCAGGTCGATCCCAGTCGAGCATGTCAACGTTCATTCTTTGTATTCTTGCAAAGGTAGTTATCTTCGGATTTCCTGGACTCCTTCTAAATCTTATGGACGAAGTAGAAACACACAGGCAGGCACGGCCATTCCACTGGATGCCACAAACCTGCCTACCTCCTTCATGCCTGGGAGCCCCATCGCTTAAACATGGCATTCATTCATTTGAAGACGTACTGGTAGCTTTTTATGCATGCACTGACCATACCAGAAATAGCCACCGAAGTAGAACTCCCCTTGTCCGTCGCGGCCTGCGTACTAACATGGCGCAAAACTTTTTTGCCGAGATGCTAAATGACAGCCAGTGCTCATCGTTGGCGACGTCTCTGACAGCCGATTCTGTGCCCAGTGCCTTCCGTGGCCTCAGCGGTGGCCTCTGTGATGCCTGGGGTACCCAGGATCGAATGCACCACAGTGACTGGAGCAGCTGTGTTCCGGTCAAAACTCCCAGGGCGAGCCCGACATGGAGCGCGGGCCTGCGCAAGGGCTGCTTGTGCCGTCTTCACCGTCAAGAACATAACGCCGCCAGTATCATCACCACCGTCACGGCTACCACCGGCCCCAGAATCGGCACCAGCACTACCGACGACGACCACCACAAACCACAACAACCACAACAACAAGGTCACGCCACCTAGCGGATCCCACGTTTTTTCGGGTTTGGACTTCGAACACGCCGCTCCTACCCACAAAGTTGGACTTGGCGGGGTGAGGGAGGGCGGGGTAATAGGGCCTGTTTTCGAAAAGGCGATTTTGCTTTTTCTCGTTTATTTATGCAAAAATGTGTTTGTTTTTTTTTTTGGCGTGGGTTTTGGACACGCTGGCGTGGAAAAGACGATTGTTTTAGTGGCGAAAAAGGGCCTTCAAAAAATGAGGTTTTTGGGGCGCCGTTCTGTTTTAACGCGTTTTACCAATGCAGCTAATAGTGAAGATGCGTATGGAAAGATTCAATTTGGCTCTTCTTGTGCGGAAAACCTGGAAACGCTGAATTCCGAAAATGCGGGATGTGTCCGACTTAGTGTAAACAGAAGACTCGCGGGCAAGAACAGACAACAGCAACAAAACAACAGAGGAACGAGGAACAACGAGCACGATGATGACGATGAGCTGTAGATGCGCATCCAAAGTAACATCGTGGTATCAACATTATCTGGCTGAAGATGAGATTGATGAGAATCTGCCCCCTGGTCATGGATGGAGTCTGATCTGGACGTTATCATGGTTGGGACATGGATGCTCTGTGGGAATGAATGGCGTCTGTGGGAACGTTATCATGGTTGCCACATGGATGCTCTGCGGGAATGGATGAAGTGTGATCTGAACGTTATCATGATTGGGACATGAATGCTCTGTCGGAATGGATGGAGTTTGTGGGATTGTTATCATGGTTGCCACATGGATGCTCTGCGGGAAATGGATGGAGTCTGATCTGCACGTTATCATGGTTGGGACATGGATGCTCTGTGGGAATGGATGGAGTCTGATCTGGTTGCCACATGGATGCTCTGCGGGAATGGGTGGAGTCTGATCTGAACGTTATCATGGTTGCCACATGGATGCTCTGTGGGAATGGATTGAGTCTGTGGGAACGTTATCATGGTTGCCACATGGATGCTCTGCGGGAATGGATCGAGTCTGATCTGGACGTTATCATGGCTGCCACATGGATGCTCTGTGGGAATGGGTGGAGTTTGTAGTTTGTGGGGAACGTTATCATGGTTGCCACATGGATGCTCTGTGGCGGCAGGGACCTATTACCCCAAAGCAAAATCGCCTTTTCGAAAAAGGCCCTATAACCCCCCACCCCCCCCCGCCCCTCCAAGTCCGAGTGTCGGCAGGGCCAGGGTTTTCCTGGCCTGACAAGGCGAAAAGCGTGGGATCCGTTACACAGCTGTTACCAACAACAACAACAACAACAGCAGCAGCGGCAGCAGCAGCAGTGGGACCATGACGACATCGCCAATATCAGTCTGCTGATCTCTGGATCCTCACCGCCGGATCAGCTGTCAAGACCATCACCAAAAACACAGCCTTCCTCTCATGACCATGATCGTCATCCTCATCACCCTCATCGGATCCTTCTCAGGCACACTTGTCGTCAGCATCACCACGACCGCCGCAACCACCACAAGTAGAAGCAATCTGGATATGATCGCCACTGATATCGTCGCAATAAACAACGGCGTCAGCCTACTACCACCGGTCAGCAATAGCAATACAACTACAATGACAACGAGGGTCAGCATACAACGTCTTCTTTTTTGATTTGGTTCTCCTTGTTGTGCTTCTCTTTGTTGCCGGTGCTGTTGTCGTCGATATTCTTGATGCTATTGTTGTTGCTGGTGCTGTGACGTTGCTTCTGCGGTTGTTGCCGTGTTTCTGTGTTGCTGCTGTTGCTGTTGCGGCTGCTGTTGTTGCAGAGGCAAATGGAACCCCTTAAAGAGCCCTAATAGAAACCCCAAAGCCTGAAAAGTTAACGCCCCCTCTTTTGTACATGCCGCGGCACCGGCCTAGACCGTCGAGCTGGGTGCATGGCGCTCTGGGCTACGTGCCGCGCTGGGCTTCTGGTCTTGGGGCCGAAAGTTGTCAAAGCGCGGGGGAGTTTAGGGCCTTATTTAGGGGCCTTAGTAATTAGAATAGGCTTTTGGGGGCCATTATGCTATAATTAGAATAAGGAAACCTCAAAATAGGATTGGTAATTACTTAGGCCCCTATATTAGGGCTTCTCGAGGTTTCGTGCTTTGGTGGTCTGGCGAGGTCTCGCGGCTTTAGGGCTTAATACTTCAGGCTTACGGTCGGCAGTCAGTTTTCTGCGTTGAGGGCTTTTAGAGCTGGGGTCGTAGTCAAACTCTGATGTTGAGGGGTTTCGGGCTCAGCGAGTTTCGATTCATTTTGCAAGCTTGGGGCTCGCTAAGCTACATTCGGGCTCGCGGATTTTAACAAAGCTATCGAGAAAGCGGCAAAATGTGGGAATTCCGGGAAGTGCAGAGGGCTCTCAGCCACGGGCCTCGTAGCAGTAGCCAGAGACTAGACAGAGCCATGTGGAAATTGCAAAGGCCAGCATGCTCTGCAAGTCGTGAAGTGAGCAGGAAGCGAAATCAGATAGAACATGGATACCCTCTGTCCATTTATCATCCTCATTCTCATTCTCATCAAACCCTGCAGGCAAAAGGTCGAGGGAAGGAGCCACGCATGAGACTCCAGCATGTGCTGATGTGTTGCTAAGTTACAGGTCCTGTGGAATCTGGAAGATGGTTGGATCAATGGAACTCAGGATGACGTCAAATTGCCGACCTTCTTCTTGGGGGGTACGTCGGCGGGAGCATTGGGTCCCGTCCGAACCCCGGCTATCCGAAAAGCCGCACACCTCTCTCGTGGCCCCTGGAGGAGGATGCTGAGTGAGCCCCCGCTTGCTACCACAGGGATGGACCTTGTTGGGACTGCATGTGCGCGCCACAGATGTGCAAGGGCAACAGCTCCAACAAGCCAAAAGAAGCTGCGCGGGCCGTGCTGACTCAATAGGGTTCAGGGTTTAGAGTTACCGATTTAGGGAATTTAGGGTTAAGGGTTTAGAGCTACCACTAAAAATGGACGAGTGAAAGCTCAGCAAACACACCAGATACTTTCAAGACCCCCGGAGCAAAAGAGGGCCGGGCGTGGGGAACTCTGGCCGACGAGACGAGTTCCTCGGCCTTAGTCGTAGGTGTAGTCCACTAGTGGTGTTGTTCTTCTCGTTCTTAGTGTTATTAGCATTATTCATCGTGTTGATCACTACTATCATAGGGTTTCGACCCTCGCACTCGCACAGGCTTCACGACTACCTCGAAGTGAGATCGCCGGCAGAAAGCAACGAGACCACGATATACCCAGATCTACTCTTCAGAACAAAAGTAGCATATCAAGGATTTGGTGCGGCAGCTTGCTGATGCCAATGCACTTCACAAGCTTACGGGCACGACTGTAGGAACTCTGTCACAGCAAGATGCAGTCTGGCATGCGTTCTCATGCGCACCATGTGCTTAGCAATGCCTCGCCAAGGCGTTGCAGGCTAAGGCTAAGGATATTCCTAGCATCAAGTCTGAACATACTCTCAGCTAACATGATGCCAGGGTACACTGAGTGATTGACGGCATCAACAACTGCTGCAGAGTGAAGCTGCTTTCTTTCCAGCATCTTGTGGCTAACGGATCGAAGTCTCGGGGATAAGACTCGGCAAGGTGCGGATGGACAAAAGGCTGCTTGATGATGGAGCAACCGGGGCAAGGAAATCTGAAACCAAGGTGTCGTGCAAAGGCTTGCGGCAACTCTGTGCCCTCGGTAGATAAACAAGAACCATCAATATACGGATCCTGCAATAATAGCGGGAGTCTATTATATGACCTCCCAAAACAATATTTCCCCTCTACTAGAACCTTAAATTAAGCCCTTTCTAGAAACGCCACATTGCTCACGAGCCGGTGCCGAGCATGGCAGCAAAGGACTTGTCATGAAGCATCGCCACGGCCGAGGGCGTCAAGCCGTTGCAGTTACCTCTTGAGTAGATTCATAGGCACCAAGGAGGTCCCCAATTTGTCCTATATTGGGGACGGAATTACGGAATCAATGTCGCTCTATGGGGGATCGTTCTCGGTAGCGTCTACAACTCTACACCAACAAACCCAGGCCCATAGAATGTTAGGCTACCTTATCGGAGTCCCCTCAATATCGGCTCAGTGGCGTCGGGTTTTGTCAGCGCCATGCCTCGACTTGGGGTTTAAACGTTGAGCAACGTTTTTGCCTCCCACCTGGCTAGGACGTGCCCGCATTGCAGGGTACAGTTGAGAAATTTAGGAGTTAAGGTTTAAGCATGTAGGGCTTCTTGTCATGTCCGGGCAGTCAGTAAGTTGGTTTCACATGGGCGTCTAGGCTTGGATGCTCTGGCCAATGCAAACTGCACCGAGGTCATGCCGCTTCGGCACAGGGAGTGCCTAACGTGCGTCTCGGATAGATTCGGTTTCGACTCACACTCTCGCACAAGGCAGGCATGGCAATGAGAGGGATTGAGCTGTAGCTCATGGCTTGAAGGCTCAAGTCCGGCGGTTACCAGAGCAAGGCAAGAGCAACATCACGCAGATGAGGACGTGCCAGTGTCGAGAAAACATATGCCAAATATGCACGCCACACATAATACCTAAGCGCGGGAGGAGAAATAACGGGCACCTTGCATGCATCGGGCTCATGTTGAGGACCATGTTTCATCCAACCGTGCCGGGGGCTTTGGGGACTTTGGGTTTAGTCGATCTCGGCTGCTCGGGACTTGTTGTAATTTGTCGAACACATCTTCTCATTTTGCTAGCCCATCTCAGACGATATATCGCTCAAGCAACAGAGATACCGTGGGCAGACTTCACCCTTATGGTATCCCATATACAGTCCAAGGGGCCCTAGTAGAAGTGTTGCCGTGTCAAGGCAGCCCGAACGTGCCACCATGTGAAGCGGTGTCTCTCCGAAGTGGTCCTCTGCGTTTACATCGAAGCCTGCTGACAGCAACTCCGCCACATCCTGTTTAGGGTTTAGGCATTAGGGCTGAGGCAGCAACGTCACCACGCGAACTGCAACCCAATACTCAGACGAATCAAGAGCATGCCCTCAGAAAGCCTACAAGCCACTGAGCAACCATCAAGTAAACCAAAAAAGGTTTAGCTTTTAGGCATACTCCTGGAAGGAAACTGACAATCGGACTATTTCCGAAGACAGCAACCATGCCAAAACTCCTAGGAGTGGCCTCTGAATGGCCGTTGTGTGCTGCCACGTGCAGTGCTGAGCACCCGAAGACATCTCCGTGGTCCTTCTGCCCTGTCCTGGGCTCAAAACTCACGCCGTCACTTTCTGGCGGAGGCTGAGTGAACCCCACAAAACGGCGGGCCAAACTGCGTGAACAAAGTGAATGTCTCTCAAAAGAGTCGCGATTTGAGCGGCTACCGTATCTTCAGTGCAGCTTCAGGGTTAGCATTCATCATACAACTTGAAACTCATGCCCGAAACATCGAAAATCATGGCTTCTTTGCGGCACAGGGCTGAGGGTGGGCGGGAGGCCAGTTGAATGCCGCTTATCCGGACCCCCGAACCCAGTATGCCTACATGCCACAGCCAGAGGAAATTCAGTGAATTACCTGGATCCTAAACACCTATCCCTGCACTCAACCCAAAACACAACACCCAAACCCTGTCCCTAAAACCCAACTTACAAAATGAGACGGACCTGTAGCCAGAATCCTAAACCTTAACCAACCACATGCGACTCAAGGATCCGGATATGCACTGCCCTCCTTTGCGCCTCCTCTTCCTTCTCGGTAGCCCGCTGGAGTAGCACAGCGCTGGTCATGTCCGGGGCTGGCTTCCTGGGCTCCAACTTTAGACTTTGGGGCTTTCAAGGCTGAAGCTTCAAGGATTCGCCTGGACTCGGCGGGGAAGTGGCTCAGGATTGCGGGGGTGAAAGGTTGGGCTTCCGAGTTTGAAGGCTCAAGGGTCCAGCGCTGCAGTAGGGTTCAGGGCCCAGGGCCGGCTTGGGGGGGTTACAATGGCTCAGCGTTTAGGTTGGTGTTGTCGATGTTCAAGTCTTCATAGGGGTAGCCCTTGTTGAGTTCTTACACCATTCAAGGGTCATGTTGCTTCTGACCGTCGACTTGAAAGCACAAAATACTTTCGACAAGAAAGCCCAGTTTCGGTGGAGGAATGTTGGGGGCCTCCTCCTCCTCCGGCTCTCCGGACTCCCCCGGCTCCTGGAGACAGATTTGCTTGACCTCTAAAGGTTCTGGGGGAGAGGCCTTGGGATTGGGATGGTTTTGGGTAATGTTATCAGAACTGAAACATATAAACAAATGAATGAATGACAACGAAAAAGAAACAAGTGCACGCAAAAAAATGTAGAGGGAGAGGATAGAGATGGCTTCGACTCTCACAGTATTAGGTACAAGCAGAAGGTTCTGAGGTTACAACTCCAGTCCTGGAGGTCATCCACACACTTGCTTGGGCTAAGCTGCCTGTCGGACAGCAGGGAGCGCACAAGACCGGCACTGGCCAAGACAGTCAGCCAGGAAAGGCAGAAGGAAACCAGTGTCCAAGGAAAGGGCGGCTGGCCGATGGCAGAAAACGTGATGTCCCTCAGCCATTGGAGATCTTCTTTTAGAAGAGCAAGGCCTTGTGGCGGGACTTGTGGCTTCAAGAGATGTGCGGTATTCTCTGCGCCCTCCCCGTCTGCCAAGAGTTCCTCGTCGGGAACGTCACTGAGAGGAGCTAGGCCGCGTGGTGCGGAGACTCCAGCTGCCTTGAGGGCTGTCTGGTCGTGCAATTGGCCGGCTGCCGCTGCCTGTGCAAGGAGACAAAGAGACCATCCTGCTTGGAACATTGCTCAACAGGGAAGGACCGATCTGCCGTCGGGTGCGGCAGGTTTTCCAACCCAGCTGAGCCAAGAAACCAACACACGCATGAAATGCGTGCAGGCGCGTGCAAGTTGGGCCCGGCAGAGGCAGCTAGGACCCCAGCGCTGCTTGAGGATGCGGCACCTGACAGGTAAGGATGTCCCAGGGCAGCCCGGGAGTGGCTCGGAGGCTTTAGAAACTCTTGTCGGTGCCGCGAGCTTCAGGCAGAGACTGGATCTTGTCGCAGATCAAAAGCAAAAACCACCAATAAAGCCATCACTGCCACCACAACCACCAACTTCCACAACCACAAGCAACAGCAGCAGCAACAGCAGCAGCAACAGCAAGAGCAAGCAGTAAACTACCAGCATCAACACCACAAACCACACCACCGCAACCACCACAGTCAACGGCGACGACGACCATGACCGCCAGAACATGAGCAAAGTGGAAGCAACAGGAACAGCAACAACAACCTCACCACCTGGTGAAGCCAGGACCGGTGCCTGCCTGCGGGACGGTATCCTTCTCTTCAGCTGGTTTCCGGCTCCCAAACGGGCCCACCTAGTGGGCCGAGATGCTCTCAAGTCAGACCCGAACCCCGACGCTTGCCCTGTGCCCGGAACAAACCCGCGGCTTGACGATCTTCAGAGGGATAGTCGTGCTAGCCTATCACTTGGCTAAGCGCTGGGTCGCTTGGTCTCCATTCTTCTCATTCCGCAGGTGAAGGCATTGGGTTCTGACTGTCCAAAGCCCGTTACCATGGAAACCCAACCAGAGCATGATGCAACATACGATAATTAGTCTATTTTTGCATACTACAGTATGCCTATATCAGTCCTTTGTCCGAATCCTGATTATAGCTCAAGACCAAGGTATAAAAGTCGCATTGTTGGCATTAAGACTTGCTGCCATGGCCTCATGCGGACTAAAAGCATGGTACGATTTAAGGTCTGCTGCAGGGGTATGGTAAAATGGGCGGATCGTTGTGGTGACCCAAGAAAATGCCGGACATAACAAAACATACGATGGCATGGTGAGATGTAAGCTTTGTTGCCGAAAATGGCTGACAACCGGCTGTGCAAAATTGTAAGATGTGTGACTGTTGCCAGTGGTTAGCTGAGCATGGCCATCCATGTCCATGTCCATTAAGGCTTCTCTAACACTTGATTTATACGCCCACCGTGCTGAGCAGGAACCGTCCAATTTTCCGGAACCTGTAACCGTTACATATTTAATTGCCTTGGTTCCCAAATTGTTTTTCGTCCCTTCGACGGACATGCTGGCCGGAAACGCTAAAAATTGGTTAACGCCGGCATTCTTGCTCATGAGACACCAGCTCGGCTCGCCAGTCCAAGTCCCGCGCCCAAGCAGGCCCGACTTCACCCTGCGGCTGAGCCTTCGCATAGGCATAGCATAGGGTCCAGGGTTTGGGCTTTATGGCTTCGGATGAACTGGTGCTGCAGGGTTTAGGGTCTGGGGCTAGGTAAGGGTTTCGATGCTCACGACTCGTGGTTCAGGATTTTACGTAAGTCTCTTTGGACTCGCAAATCGCACAACGCAGGCAAAGCTTCACACGAGAACATCCTCTCACAAATCCTTGCGAAGAAGGATTTCTGCGGAGACATACAGCCCTCTCTGCCCTGCATTTGCCAGGATGAGCGTCTGTTCGGAAACTTGGACAATCTTGCATCCGACTTCTTCTGGACCATGTGCTGCTCGGATGACTCTCCGCGTCGAGCCATTCCCACTCTGGAAAAGACTTCATGGACTATCCAGAAACTTGATTATCCACCCCATGCAGTGAGAAACAATCGACCCACTTGACACACCCATTATCACGCTCAAGCTGATAGAAAGCTGCACAAACCAATATCCGACTATATGGGCTTTGCAAAGGTTTAATGACCTTTGTGCTTCGTGTTGAGGCCTGCTTCCGAGAGGGGAACCCGATTCCTCATGTCCCCTGATTATTCACACTACATATACATCTGTAGTTCCTCTTGTGAATCAGTCATTCAACCATTTTTGACAGGCGAATCGTGCAAGAATGGTGGAAGAGTAGAAGAACGCAGGGCGAGCGAGTTTGGCCGCAGTAAACTGACACCATTGCCCCTGTGTGTTCAAGCCAATCTTGCGTTCTCCAAGCACTTCCGTAAACGAGCCCGAAGAATATCGGGAACAAATCAAGGCAGGATTCGACCGATAGAGGAGCAGTAGGCTATGCGAGGCAGCCGCGAAATACAAGCAAGTTGCGCTGTCAAGTCTGCAGGGACACCTTTCCACTACACCCCAATCCCACCCCAAACAACTTAAAGCGTGCGCACACACACAGAGAGACACAAAGAGAACACACACACACACACACATACAGACACAAAGAGCCACGAATGCTAGTGGAATGAAGAATCATGCCGCCACAAGCCGGCCAGCAAAAGTTGAGCCCCCACAACCTCACCTTCGGAATTTTCCAAGTCTACAATTCAGTATGTTTCAAGGAGGCCCTGCAACCGGATCTTTACAGCTTCTAAACCCTCAGGCTGCCCAACAACAAACAAACATGGCCTTCTATACCCTCAACCTCCCAAGACTCCCCCAACCCCTTGCCTTCTCATCATCACGAACACCTATCCCCAAAGACCTAATCTCTACGCCCTCACCCCAGACTTTCAGACAATCCCCACCGGAAATCAAAGTTACCACTCAGCAGCAGGCACTCAACAGCCCCTCCCAAGTCAGGCCTTAGAGTTCGGACTTGGGTTCAGGCTCTCGGGCTCGGAGTTCACAGGGGGATAACGGGGTGCTATAAGGGTTGTACTCTATGGGCCTTAGAGTAGGGATAGAAGAGGATATTTCTCTAGAACTAACTTTCAACTTGCATACGGCACCCGAAAAAATATGGCATTACTAGTCGGTCAGGCGTCTATATTGGTCCTTGATTAGGCCGAGGGTTTTGGACATGTCAGGATTTTAGGAGGTCTCCGCTTCAAGTTTAGGGCGTGGAAGCGCAGAGTTTATAAGGGCGTCGGAAGTTCAACTGTAGTGTTAGGATTTTGGGTGTAGACTGTTATGGGGTATATTGCTTTGGGGAACTCAAGCTCGCGATTGTGGTTTAAAGCACAGGTTTTATGAAGGGTCTTGGGAGTTCACGGTTTGCTGGCCAAGGTTTGCTAAAGACTTGCTCCGCAAACTCTCACAGAGCCGGAGGGAAGGTCCGATGACATTGACTGTTCGCGTCAGCGTTGAGGCCTCGGGTCTAACGACCCGGAAGGCCTAGAAGAGTAGCAACAGAGGGTGTCTTGTGGTTGCTGGTCTCTGGATGAAAGCATAGACGGCAGAGGCTCATGGAGCCTGGCCAGTGCATTCATGTAAGAGACTGCCGATATGACGGCGTTGGATAGCCCCAAGGCTCCTGGCTTTCCAGAGGGCAACACCGAATTCTCCCAACACCTGCAAGCACAAATGCAAAACCCAACTCAGGCGGCGACCGTCTGGGATGGGCCTGGCCTGACCCAGGACAAGATGGATCCAGTGTCCTTTTGTTCATGGAGTAAGTCGGGTGTAGTGATTCATGATTCAGGGGTGTCAGGAGTCAGATTCACGCTCGGCCCCGCGCTGCCTGGCTTTGACAGTTCGGGAGCCTACTGCTGCTTCTCAGACACTTGGAAGGAGTAGATATATAAGGGTTACGGGTGTAGGAGTCGTGTGATCTTCTGAAGATGATCTTTCATGGGTTCCCGGACGAAGGCCAACGGCACCCAGCCTCAGAGTAGTATCCAAGGCCACGATCTCCCAGCTTGAAGACGCAGTTTGGCCTTGCACCTGCCATATGCATATGCTAAAGTAACATGGTGTCTAAACCTGCGAAAATGTAAATGTATGTATGTATGTATGTATGTATGTATGTATGTATGTATGTATGTATGTATATATATGGGAAAATAGGTATAACGCAGTTAAATGCAAGCATGAACAAAATAAAACATATAAACGTCTAAGTACATGCACGTACACATGTTTTGGTGTAAACATGTACATATTATGCATATATGTATGTGCATTCGGCTGGGTCTGGAACCGTTCGTCCGAATGCCGCCGTGAATGTATGTACATACTTGTGTATGCCTGCATGAGCATACCTATTCTATACGTAAATATGTATATGCACACATGCGTATATATGTGCTAGGTGTAGATGTGTGTGTATGCACACACAGGTAGAGAGATCGATCGGTAGATAGAAAAATAGACAGAAAGATAGATAGATAGGTACGTAGGTAGATGTATGTCAGGCTCCGGACAGTAAGCTTGTTGCCGTGAGTTGGAAGCTCCAGTTAGACCGTCCAGACCTCACCGATGAAGTGACCTGAAACTGCGGGTTTCGGCTCTCACACTCGGACAATCCAGCAGCAAAGTGAAACAACTGCACATGCAAGCTCAGCAACAAGACGAGCCCCTAAGATAGAGAACCTCTAAGAGACACCGAATCGCATGTGCAAACCAAAGTCCACGTCGATACTGTACGCAGTTTAGGGTTTTAGGGTTTCGACTCTCGCTCTCGCACGCAGCAGGCTTTTAGGGTTCAGGTTTGTACAGCCCCGTTGAAACAAAGCAACCAGCGGCGCCTTGGAAGCAATCCGACGGAGTGAAAGCTGCAGGCTCGGCAACCGCCTCGCATGTGCAAGTTCTGTGAATTCGCTACTCGAATATTTTGACAACCAATCATTATGGACACAGCTTTCTGCTGCTAAGTGTGAGTGGTGGTAGTGTTGCCTACCAGCTTGAACAACAGCAGCATCGGAATCACACTCAACGTCAAACAGCACGAACCGGAGCCAGCCATGGGTAGGGGTTGCACACGCATGCCGCAAAAAGGCATCGCCACTTCGCAGAACGTCAACTGCGAGCATGAACAAGTCCCTGTGCTTATTCGGCTTACGAATCTTACGACATACTCCGAAAAATCGAACAACATAATCAGGATCGACTGATAGAAACAAGCTCAGCACTCCCGATCCGATGTTGCGGAGCCTGCTGCTTCTTGTCCACCACTTTCGCAGAGGTAGCGTGGAAAGCCATCGGAGTCTCCACGTCCGGCCTCCGGGTTGACTGTGTGGGCTTCAGCTCAAAGGGCCGATGTGGGTTGATTTGTTGCCTCCAGCTACGATGTGGGTTTATGGGTTTAAAGTTTGAGGGTTCATTTTGTAAATGATTCTTGGGCTCTCGGAACTCCAGAAAAGGCTGGAGGCTTACGGGCTTTAGGCCCAAAGGAGGGCTTAGGGTGCACGGATGACCGAGGAAAGCTGCATGCCAGGGAATTCAGCTCCGCATAAAGCTGAAGCCAAAACAACCCGGCCTCGCCAAGGAAAGCTCTGCCGGCGGCACTGCTTCCCAGGCCACGCCATGCTGAATGCACAACTCCTCCAGCGACAGGAGCACCAAACTCTGAAAGATTGAATTCAACTAGACTGGGAATGCCCTAATTGAAGAACCCCAAACCGGCAAGCCCCAATGATCTTGTGGCGTTGTGGTTTCAGCAGACAGCTGTGCAGATTTCCGTTTTGTGGTTCCAACGTTTTCTTTATTGGTTGTGAGCTGACTGGGTGTGCGTTGCAGCGAATGTGCTTATTTTGTGATTTCCCATAATAGTTCAAACCGTCTTGCATTGATTGGCGAGTTCTCGTTGTAGTGTTGCTGTCGTGGTTGTTGCATGGATTGTGCTGTACATGCCTTTGTGTTTCCTATGTTTTGTCGTATGTTGTCCTATTTGCCAGTTTTCCGAAATTAGCTATTTCCTGGGTTTCTGCAACCAGGCCGGAGTCTTCCATTCACCACGAATACTGGTCAGAGAAGCGTCTGGGCAAGCAGTATTCATCCTCATCCTCATCCTCATCCTCATCCTCATCCTCATCATCATCATCATCATCACCATCCTCGTTGTCACCGCAATGCATTCACCTCTCCGTTCGAAGCGCTGTCACCCATGCTCCCCTCTGAGATTCGCTCCTCCTCGTTTGGTGCCAGGCCGATGCCCAAGGCCTTCTTGACAGGGACGACCAACCTGCCGAGATGTGGGTCGAGGGACGACGACACTCGGCCGCTGGAGGTGCTGAAAGTTTCTTCGCGATTGCCGCGGACAGTCCCAGAGACGAAGAGAGGAAGCGGAAGAGGGAGACGGAGACTGGGAGCAAAAGAGAACGAGGAAAAGCAACCAGGGATCAAGGCACACAGGTAGAGAAATAGCGAGTCGCAGCTTGACGCACAACGGATCGCCATCTTTGCAGCCGCTGATTTCCGCGATTAGGCCCTCGCATTCGGAGTGCTTTAGCCACGAAGTCCTCCGGAATGTCTGACCTTCGGGTATCCAGCATAGCACAGCACAGCTGAACCATCCTGTCATGCACAGGCTACTGTCAATGAAAGCACGTGGAGCTAGGACTCGTGCTTGAGCTTGCTCACAACCCGGCCTTCCTGCACCGATCTAGCAGAGAGGTGTGAAGGCATGTAACGACTGTGCGGCCTTGTAGACGCAGGTCTCGCGCAAGCCTCAGATACACTGCATGTCTAGGAATACGAGAAATCTCATGTTGTAAGGGCGTAGCTGATTGATGCGTCGGCGTTGAAGGCCATGAAGGGACCGGCATAGTCCTGCATGCACGAGCTCACCAGATCCACCATCCGGGTCAGCTTGGCCCGCCGCGTGCCTCTGCAAACTTGGAATATATCTTGGCCAAGTTCCCACCAACATCGTATTCCACCTGAAAGCAAAGCACTGCCCCTTTTGCGACACAAGGACGAAACTCCTCCGGGCGCAGGACACTCAGCCCGTCTTTGTGCTGAAAATTGGGTGACCTTCGCGGTATGCAGGCTAGGCCAATTGCAAACAACATCACATCTGCAGACATAGAAAACGTCACCACGAGTTTATGCGACCGAAAACTGCACAAGGCCATGCTTGCTGTTGAAATGTCTGGGAAGTCGGCTCGGAGAAGTCGTGCTTCTTTGTCGCGACTTCTTTGTGCCTCGGGGCGCGCTCAGGGGCACCCAGGCTCTCACGAAGAGCCAGCAAGCCGCCCGTACCTTAGCTCTGGGAGCCATTCAGCATGGAGCGTTCCCCTGGTAGATGCCGCAACGAAGTAATAGTCTCTACCGTCTCAACAATAAACCATCAACAACCTGACTGCTGTATGGGTGCGCTCGTGGGCTTGCACGGCCATGTGGTTCGGGAAGCGTATGCATGGATGGCTTTGCGTCCACAAATAGCCCACGACGCTGCCCGGAATCGCACTCGCCAAGGCTTCCACCGCAGAGCTGTGAAAGGGTTGCCCCGGCACCCATTTGTGAGCCAGCCGAGGCAGTTTGCTGTAGAGGCGCCGGGCAGATTCCGAGATGGAAGCATTTCCAGGCGCGGCTTTGAGTGCTGCGTTCAGGTCGTCGCTGGCAGCTTGCAGGTGGCCTAAAGCCTCCCGAGCGAGGCCGCGTCGGAATAGTGCCTTGATCCTCAACTTCTCCTCCAAATCAAACTGAAGCGCCGCAGTCGCATCTTCCTCTGCTGCTTGCCAACGCTCCAAGCGCAGTCGGGCGAAGGCACGATTGCAAAAAACAGCAGCATCGGATCTACACGTCAGGGCCTGGGCGTAGCATTGCTCCGCTTCTTTGAAGGCTTGTCTCTGCATGGCCGCATCACCCTCTTGCTTCGCCCGGTCAAAGGATGCATGCATGCCGGAAGCCATCACGAATCACGGGCATGCAGAACCCCTTGCTGTACGCGTGTTCTGCCTGAAACTACCAGACTCAGCTATACCAAGTGTGCTCGTGAAGCTCTGCCAGCCAACGTGTTTAGTGGTGGCACCATGGAATCGACCTAAACCCACTTTTCCTGGAATATGCATCAGCCTCGAGCAGCTGCTAGAGCTGAGGGAAACGGAACACATGTCATCGGACCGTCAGCACGGATGACTTGCTACACCCTACTTCCACCTCATAGCTGTTCTCGCCAACGAATCAACACAACCCACACATGCACCCCAAAACCTGAAGGCGATACATGTTTGCAGTCCGTCGGTGCTTGGGACCTGAAGATGGGCCTTACATGTCTGGGCCGAGGAACGACGCAGTTCACCAGTCAAAAGAACTTCTGCAGGTCCGTTACGAATGCATTTGGAAACGGCCGTTTTTGCCGTAATAAATCTGAATGTCCGTGCATGAAATGCTTGCGAGGATTACCCTGGCCCTAGAATGGCATCTCGTCAGGTTCCGTGTTAGGAGGGTGTCTCAAGCATCCGCAACTCTCTTCGCGCTCTTCCTCATCATCAGTACCGGCTCCACGAAGCCAGGAGCCAGGCGGGCCGGAGGGGAATAGAGGGGTAGAGGATACCCTACATCTCCTAGTCTCCAAAGACCGGGTGCTTGCCCCATAAACCGGACACATGACGGTTGAGTTTTACGAGGCGAGATTTAGTTGCCCGCCGCAGCAAGTCTCGCAAACAGTTTGTGTCGGACTCTCGTCTGAAGCAAAAGCCAGAAGTAGGCGGCTCTCGTTTTCGCAATGCCGTCAGATCCAGGCCGGTACGAGGGCCGCCCCACAACGCCTGGAGCAGATGCCATTCATTAGGTATGGCAGCATGATCTACCAAAGTCACGTGCACTGTGCCGACAGCTTGCAAACAAATCTATCCTTGTAGAGCCGTTCAGGATTCCTATCTTGATTTGCTAATTGTCACCCTTACCTGTGCCAACAAGGTCTTTTGGAAGGCGGTCCCAAGCAAGACGACCAGATTCCTCTCGCGGATCTATCCCTTCATGCCCCCAAGATGCGTAAAAACAAGCATGAAACAGATTGACTATTTAAACTGAATAAAGAAATTTTGGAGGTTCACACTCCACAAGTCTTCGATGGGCTGCTGCTGCTCTTGTACAGCTATAGAGCAAATACTATACAGGTGCCGCCACTGCTATTGCTACTGCTACTGCTACTACTACCACTACTACTACCACTACTACTACTACTACTACTACTACTACTACTACTCCCACTCCTAGCCCTACCCCTGCGCCTGTGCCTATGCCTACTGCCACGACGACGACTACCTATGCTTATGACTACGCCTATTCCTGCGACGACCACCACTGTCCGCCAGCTGCTGCTACTCCTCCTACCACCCCTTCTTGGCGGTGGTGCTGCTCCTGCTGCTGCAACAACGACGACTGCTGTGCTTGCTCCTGGTGCGACCACCACCACTTCAAACGCTGTGCAGTTGGAAGCTCCCTCGGGTTCCTGAACAAGAGCAGAGGCACGCCTCCGCAGCCGAGAAGCTAGTTGTACCAGCGCAGATGTTGCCAGATGTCTGCTCGCGCCTGAAGGAATCACGCGCCCCCCAGCTCTTTTCCCAGAACTGAACTATATGAGCACCTGCCGACTCGAACCCCAGCAGTCACCATCACCACCGAATCTAGTGTTCAGAATTAACCACTGGAGCGGTTTCAGAAAGACGCGAAGGTTGCCAAACCCCCCGAAAATCCAGGATCTGAACTCCTGAGCTCCACATTCTCCGAAGTCACCGAGCTGCCTCCAAGGACTTGGCCAAAAGTGCGCGAAAGGGCTCACCAGACTCGAATCCGCAGTTTTCGTGCCTCCAACTTCGGTTTTTGAAGATGGAGGCGGGGATCGTTGGAACTAACAATACTATAAGCATATCACTGCTACCTTTTATACAGATATTGCGAGGTGACGATCGTCAAACATGCAGTGTTTTAAACATCTAACCATATATATATATATACATATACTTTTTTAGACTACTGCCGTAGCTGTCGGGCGTGGGCCCGCCACGTCTATTTACACAATGCTGGACCTGTGGTTTGTAAACATGCGGAAAATCTTAAACACAACTGTTCAACGCCATCCGTGCCCTTGGTGGTCCGGCCGCCCTCCACTTCTTCGAAAAACTTCACCGCCTGCTTATTCATATCATGAGTGCATGGTTCTCTTCACTTGTCCTTCGCGGTTTGCTGAGACGGTGGGAAAGTATTTGACTCGAAATGTGCTGCAAACAGCTTCTGCCACACACACTTCTATACATGTCCAATATGGGCATTCTCATGTCTCCCAAACTATACAAACCCTAAGCCCTGAACCATATACAGTCATAGCCGATCTAGAACAGAAGAAGATGCTCTACTTTGGACAGACTTCGTCTTCTCATGCCATCAGCATTCCAAACATCTCGAAATACATTTACAGTAATACGATTACACGTGCTTTATAACATTGTTACTGGTGCTGTTGTGCTTTGTTTTACGGTTGTGGTTATCTTAAGTCGTAATACACTGAGAATATAGTACAACTTTTGCAGTTCTGATTGCGTAACTGCTTATTGACGTGCTAAGTAGTTGAATATCATGTAAGTTCATAGTACAACTATATGATCAGTTAATGTTCCACGCCATGCCAGCAGGCGATGAACACCAGGTGAGTCTGATCATCGTGGTGCCAACCTTTCCACCCCACGGATTTCAGAGTGTAAAGGTTTAGACTTTAGGCCCCCTCTTGGCTGTTTTACGTGTCACGGAACTCGTGCTGTCCTATGATCCTAGCACCCCAGCTCATATGAGAACAGCTGCATTGTTTCAAAACACGCGCGTTGTTTTAAAACAGTCTCGTCCTCACACTGGATATAAGACCCCATAGGCCGAATAGAAGCCTGTAAGCCAGATGTCCTGATGCCCCAAACCAAAAAACCAAAATAAACAACAAAAAACAAAAACAACAAAACAACCAAGAGCTTCAGCCTACTTGCAATGCAGGAGCATCTCAAGTGAACAAACTCCCTGCAATTATAGGGAGACTCATCAAGCCAGACTTCCTTGGAGAATCCGGCCGGCCCTTAGGAAGAAGAATCATGAAACTGAAATTCCACATCGCACGCAATCAAAGTCTCCTACGATTCGGTAGCTTCAGGGGCTAAAACATTGCACTCTCTCACGGCTGCGCAAGCCCTCTCATATGCAACGGAACTGTCACATACATGCTACGTCTACATGGCATGAGTCCGGCCACATGTCATGATGATGAAGCTGCTGAGGTCTCTCGCTAGATGGCACGGGCCTCGTGACGAAATCGAATATTGTAGCACGCCCTGGCTGAGGGATAAGCCGAGTTGTTACTCCAGAACCCGCACCAAAGCCTCGTCCCGTCCGAACCCAACAACACCTCAGATCTTAATCGGCACTTCCTTCTTCTGAATCCTTGCTCTTGCCTTGCCCTCCCCAAAACCCACACGGGACTGACTGCCTCGTGTAGAGCCCTGCGATGGCCATGAGCCTCTGATGCCGGCAGAGTATAACGGAATAGAAGACAAGAAGAGTATTTTACGAATGAAGAAATGATGCTACAATAACACTATGAAAACTGATAATCGTGCCATAATAAGAACATTATCATTTTGATATTATGCAGCTGTCTACCCTCACACGCAAGCCATGAAGCATTACACTCCCCGCAACCGACACCCGCTCCGCCCGGATTGTTCAGCAAAAATATCCCCTTATAGTCCCTATTACTTAAAAAATATACCCAAAATAATCCCCTAAAACCTCCAATTCCCAATTATTCCGGCTTCTATGTACAGGGTGGGAGAAATTCCATCTCCCATCTTCCACTGGTTTGCTAAGTCTGCCGCATCTGCTCCGGCTCGCCCGCGGACGTGATCTTCTTCGGTCCCTCCTGGGAGTTTCAAGTTTCGGCAGCTCCACATGGTGGGTTTCCGAAATAGGGGACCCTGATATAGTACCCTAAATAGAAGGATCCTTATTATAAGGACCCCCAAAATAAGGTACCCCTATTTTCGGAAGCTCCCACTCAGACATTCGGGGTTCAGGGGTCGGGGTGTGGTTTTGGGGGTTTTTCGGGTGTAGACGTAAATTTAAGGCTTCTTGGGATCACGGTATGAGACTTCTAGGGTCTATCTGCATTAGAAATCAACGTTTCCAGGGCTTAGTGAAAACTGGTACCCGCGAAGAGCCGCTTTATGCTGCTTTTGGCCACAGCCCGGCCCTTGAAAACGAACAGCAGCTCCGAAGGTGCCAAAACGGACTTGAACCCTTCGAAGACAAGCTATCATCCTCAATTCCAAACCCAGATTTCGATTTTCCATGATTTCGCCCCCTAAACCCTAAACCCTATAAACCCTAAACCCTAAACCCTACCCCTCACACATGGCCCCTGCCCTCCTGCAGCAAGGACTGCAGAAGGTGCTCGGCCTCCTTCACCTCAGAGTGCGTCTCGGGAGCTCTGTTGCTAGGCATGTATAGATAGATAGATAGATGGATAGATAGATAGATAGATGAGGTAGATAAGGTAGGTAGAGAGGAAGGTAGATGGATGAAGAATTAGATAGATACCTGTAGCGATTCATCTTGCTTGAATTTGTCATCACAGTTAGGTAGACTGGCCTGGGAGCTGAGACACCCCCCCTTGAGAAGACACTGTCTATGTACTTCTTTGATGCACAGTGTCCGCCCAGATGACATCTCTAATCCTCATCTCCTGGATCGAGGGGCAAAGGCCTAAGCGGGATCTCGTATCCAAGCGGAGCGCTCCCATCTATTAAACTGCCTATGACGTCATCAGCACATGCTTTGTTGTGTCCCAGCACGTCCTTACCTCTCCCTCCCCCCTGCTCTGCAAGTATCCTTTTGCCCTACCCTTGTCGGTACATCAGACTTTTGTCTTCAGTATACGAAGCTGCAATCAAGCGGCCCCAGCTTAGGGCAAGCCAGGCTGCGAAACGCACCCACGCATTGCTAGTTGCTAGGTTTCGGCGTCGTGCCACTGCTTCGGCGTGCAACAGTATTTGTTCACACCTGGAAAAGAGAGGCAAAGCTCTCAAAATCAAGGTCTCGTCTCAGAACCCCCCCTTACTTTAAACTTGCCCGGCAACAGGCAGAGGAATGGATTTTGATCTATAAACAGATTGTTTGGCCTTTTTGTCAGCAAGCCAAGCCCCAGCTGATGAGACCCCGACTTCGAGAAGCATTCTAGCGGATAAATCTTTGTCATCCTACCAAAAACTGCGTGGGTCTCAGAGAGCACAGACGTGGCTAGACGAGGCTTGGCGAAGAAGCGGCTGCCCCCAAGGAGGAACCTCGGGTTCAGACCTATGCCTCGCCTACGAGGTCCGTGCGGACCTAAACCGCTTACCCAAAGGCTCCATGTACCGCCTTCAAACCCCTCCATAGGAGCCCTTCAATATGCCATATGGGCACATGGAGCCTTAGGGTTAGATATCCCTACCTCGCAGAAACTGGAAACAAGCAGGGCTGCCGAACTGCAGGTTGGAGTGGCGTTGCGGGAGAGATGTTCTCCATTGAGAGTTCTTTTGGGTTTGGCCTCTCTTGTATCGACCGAACGCGACGTATCCCAATGATTCTGAACTTCTAAAGCCAAAAGCTTTCGGCGAAACCGTCAGACGCAGGAAACATCACCACTGATTGATCAGGCTTAGGGCCCCTCGATCCCATCCTTCATCCAATCCTGATTTGATGGCAGGTGGCCATGACGAGGGCCATAGTTGCAGAAAGTCTGACTGCGAGACCATCACTGGCAGTAAACAGCATCGGTGGAGAGAGCAACAGCTCGTACAGATAACAGAAGGAACACGAATCACAAAGCGCTTTTCGCAAACGACACATGCGAGAAACCCTGAAACTGCTCGTCCCGTACGGACAACATAGTCACAAATCTGAGTGACTATAGATGTGCTAATGACATGTGAAGTGATAGTAGCAATAGTAACAAGAAGGATTGCAATGCCGAGATTATTCATGTTTATGATGATAAAAACGACCAGGTAACTTACAGCGTGCGCGCTACGAGTATATTCTAGCCGTAGTACAAAGAAGAATGACAGTAGTAGCAACAGTAACAGTAGCAATGGCAATAGCGATCACCACCACCACCACCACCACCACCACCTGCAAACTCATCGTGAGCATTGGCAACATACTTTGCAGATTGGCTCACCAGCACCGTGAACATTGGCCATATAGTTTGCAGATTGGCTCACCAGCACCAGGAGAACTACAGGGATAATTATGATGTCTTCAGCACGAGCAGGAAAATCATCAAAGCAACCATCAGAGTCGTGCGTTTGGCATGCTTTGACAAGATAGTGCTCAGGTCTGCATGTGTCGTCTGACGTTGTGATCCATTACGCAGAATTGGTTCGATGTGCTGGCATTCCTGCAATGCCAACCCGATGCTGATTAGCTCCAAATACATTGCAAATTTCAAGCCGCGGCGGAATGTGCGCGCCCAAGTTGTCTGCACAGGTAGTCACACCAATGACAAGCAAACCGCCACAGAAAGCAAAGCCAGTCAACAGATCAGCAGTACCAATGCCAACAACTCTTGCACTTCCCCACCCTCAACCCTAAACAGCCCTGCCTACACATCCCTGTGCCATAAACCCTAAACCGTTTGCTGGCAAATCCCGGCTCGGAACCTCCAAGAAATTCAGCAGCAGCAGCCCGTCGGGGGCGGTTGAGCTGGTGGCACCCTTGTGACTTCAAAAGGTCTCTGTAGGAGCTAATTATAACGGTTGTGGGTCCTGTAAGATGACTTTGGAGTGTGTTGCAGGATCTTGGAAGCCAAGGGGCGTGCAGTGCGTGCAGCACTGGCATTCTTAGGCATGAGAACAGATGCGCAGAGGTTTGACATGCGCTCCAAGGAGACAAGCAAGTTGGAATTTGTTTCTGTCAGCAAACACGACTACGATCGTCCTTCGGTTCTTTCGGGAAGCCAATGAACCCAGCAAGATCTAGTATCTTCAAGGAGAAGCTGTGGAAGCCATACCATCGCCTGATCAGGCTGAAGAACTACTAGACGTGCTCGCATCCTGATGTTGTTCGGGGGGCTGTGGCCCACCAGGGATTGCAAGACAAGGCTCGCTAGACCCGTGAGGGTGCCGACGGCCTCTGCCATCAAGCGACAGGCCCATGACTGATGCAGTGCCCATGGAGGCCCTTCCCACCAAGCCATGTGCGAGCCGTGGCTCAGGTGAACAACTGCACTGTTCCTGGGGCTGTGCAGTTGAAGTCCCTGAACGCGTCTGCACCAGTTCTCAAGCGTTGCTGATACCAAACAAAAACTCTTCCAAAGCTTGAGCCCAAGTTCTTCACGAGCTTTTGCACCTGTCCATCCAGGAGGCGGGTGGACGGGGTGATGGGGTCATTCCCTGCTCCGAGGAAAATAACCGGAATGGGAAGCTGCTCCATCATTGAAGGGGTGGTGTCCACTGCATCCATGACGTCTTCATGCTCAGTGAAGCCATAGACCTTAGATCTGTCGTGATACAGTAGTACAACCCTCTTGGCATCGTCGTCCCCTCCGTTGTCATCGTACCAGTGGTGTAGTGGCCGTCATCTTCTCCATCATCGCGGTCGTGGTGGTGGTGGTGGTGGTGGTGGTGGTGGTGCTGCTGCTGCTGCTGCTGCTGCCGTTGCTGGTGACGAAGAAACTGGATGAAGGGTCATGACGACGGCGATGGCGGCAGTGGCCGGATAACCATGATACAAGCAATGATTCATTTGCTCTAATGGCTGTCGGTGATCAGTGGCTGCGACGAGAAGGAGCGGAGGGGATTGTTGGGAGTTGTTGGCCATGCTGATAAGGATGATGCAGATCATGGTAGTGTGATGATATCATCCGGTGCCAGGTAATAAGGCGGAATGTGACAATGACGATGATGTTGACCGACTGTGCTGTTGAAGAGCTGTACTGCCACCAAGAAGAAAACCCAAAATCCTAACCCTCTACACTAAACCCGATGCAAGGCACGGGGAGCAATGCCTCATCCCATTCACGTAGGCTGCGAGCCCGCCGAAGCTTCTCGGGTTCGAAGCCAGGGAAGCTTGTAGACAATACCTGATGCAGTTGTCCCTTTTGTGCGGAGCAGTCTAGCACGCAAGGCCATACACCGCACTCTAGTCGCCGAACAAACCGGTCACTAGTGATACCTGCAGGACGCAAGTCCGGTGGGCTGTTACGAGAAAGTTGAAGCAGCCGAACTACCCGGCTATGCCCCCGGCATCACCAACTGTAAGCATGGGTCCCAAGCAGGTCCTTTGGCCCCCCCTCCCGCTCTCGCCGATCCTCCAGATCAGAACATCGCCGCACGATATCGCGATATGCGGCCAGGATGAAAGGTGCTGCCCCAGAAGCATCCACGGCGGTTGCGGCTGGTCGAGATGAATGCCCGTGGCAGACTAGGACTGCACCTGAGGGACTTCAAAAGTAATGATTGGGCTGCCGGGGGGTGTCTCAGACCTCTTTGCAACGGCAGGCACCTTGCACACGGTACTCTTGCAGCTTCTCGGGATTCATCCCAGCCCAGCGCGTGAAGTGGGCAGCGCCAATGGAGCAGCCGACAACCACCAGTGGCGCAGTCGATTTCTTGCTGACATGCTCAAGAATGTGGCCGATGTCTCCTATCCCCACATAGGCGGTGGCAGGTAGGCATGCCGACTGGAGAGGTAGGTCGTCATGACCTGAAGGGATCCGAATGGGAACCTTTCCTCGTCCTTCCCAATCTTTGACCCGAACTTCTCTTCGACGAGCCCTTGTTGTAGGACTAAAGAGTCGACTCTCTAAACCCTACACGCCTAAACCCTTCCCTCCCCCCACCTTGCATTACGCCGACTCCAACCTTACAGCTCGTAAAGGTCTTGGCCACGTGGTGCGCGATCATGCCAGCGAAGCCTAACCAGGTCTCATTAGGGCTTTGCATGGGGGTTGAAAGTGTAGTTCTATCAAAGGAAGTGTAAGGACTCGCGGATAGTAGTAATACTAGTGGTATTCTTATTATTAGGATGACAAGTAATATGAATATTATTAACAGTATCATTACTACCCTTATGAGTACTATTGTTATTGCTTCTACTAGCATTCTTATCATTATTAGTATTTGTATTCGTAGTATGAGTACTGCTATTATTAACATAATGATGCGTAGTAATTATTATTCGTGTTACGAATATTCCAAATCTCAGTCCTACAGCTGCTATTATTGTTGTTTGTTATGTATGTATATATATATATACATACATACACCCTTTCTGCCGCTGCCTCCAGATGATCCCACTGCGTCGGGCTGCGCGATTACCAAATCTTCCGACCCCTATCTAGAAATATTGAAACTCTCGAAGCAACCCGAAGCTTACAGAACGACCGTAGCTACACACCTTTGAAAGCACCAACAAGCAAGAAACGAAAACAAAAAGCTGATGAGCGGGACCCAGCAACCCCTTCGACTGTTGGTACCGATGCCGGGAAACACAAGCCTGAAACTGCTTCAATGGCAGCAGAATCAGGAAACAGTCAGACCCTCGTTGCACCAGCCATAAAGACCCCTACATCGTTTTCTGCGAGGTAGTTTAGTAACAACCACGAAAAGCTTTTCTAAACCAGCACTGCAAGCAGGATTGCTTCCGGTGCGCTGCTGTCGCCGATCCAATCCACACCGAGCCTGGATCAGTGCTTCGTATAACCCTTAAACACCTTTCTAGACGTACAAAGCAAAAGCATAAAGCTTCAAGACATGAAGCCCCGCAGCGCCCTCGGCCTGAAGCTGCCAAGGGACAGAGCCTGGTTGGGCAGCTCGATTTTCTCCCTGCGCACTGAAAGCTCCTCAGGGGTACCCCCGACAAAGGGCGGGGCAACGTAGGGGGTGGGAGGGTGGGATATTGAGAAATAGGCTCGGCCTATTTCCGGCATGATGGATTCACGGTTTTGAAATCTCTTCGTGGCTATTTATAAATAGGCCCCCCCCTTATCGGCCTATTCCCCGCTCCGCGAAACGTAGAAATTTCGAAATTGAGAAACGGTACTGACAATCCGGATACTGCTTCTACCCGAAGGCTTCCACCACTGAGAATGAGTCGGCCATGGTGACCATTTTAACACATGCTGGGTCTTGGACCCGACCTAAACCCTTAACCCTTCTTTTCTACTAAGCCCTAAACCCTAACCCTGGTTCTCGCAAGGTCCTTCTCGGGCTTTGCCGTGAGAGCCAGGGAGGCCAGGCCAAAGGTACAGATCCTGATTGGGGGAGAGGGAAGGGGGGGGGGGGGGGGGGTTGTGGCTTCGGGTATCATGGTTTGGTGGGCTTTTAGGTGTTGTTCCATCGCTGCATTCAGGATTCCAGGTTTGTAGGTTTTAGTCTTCAGTATTCTTGTGCCCCTGGCAACTCAAGGCTCTACAAATACCAGGCGGAGACTAGGGCGATTGTAAGGTTTTCGGTAGTTTGGGCTTCTTTCTTGGCTCTGGGCCTTCAAAAACCCGAGGCTCCCAAAACCCCGGAAGCCTTGAACTGCCCGAAGCCGCAAGCATCGGAACTTAGCCCTTCCAAGACTGTAAGGGCTGCAAGGGCTTAATATGCCAATACTAAGAGCTTAATATGGCCATAATAAGGGCTTAATGAGGAACTTTGCATAACAGCAAATAAAACGGTTTCTGTATTGTGGTAACTTAAACCGTAACAAGAACGCTTCGGAGACCCTACCTGCTGAGGGCCACAGGCTGCTGCAACTCCTTCAGTGTGCTTGGGACTGGAGCGTTGATGTCCAAAGATTGGCGCTCAGGGAAATTGAAGAGGAAAGGACGGTTCCCTGTTGCTTCGTATGGTGAGGAGGACACTTCTTCAATCGTATCGCTTGCTTAAGACACATACGTCATATAAGAAGTCTCTGAGAAAACAATGTGCAGCCGAAAACGTCTTTCCGGAAATCTTCCAAACGAGACTGAGGTGCCCAAGCGCCTCAGATTGGGTGACGCGTCCGCGCTGAAGACCACTTGAGGCCGGACGGCCATCGTAAGCAGTGGCATGGCTCTGAGTTTCAGAGCTCGAACTCGGACACGCCAGGCGAGGCAGGTTTGTTGACTTCTTGCGCTATAAGGGGTACCTTGAGTCCTCTCCTTTTCGTGTTTAGGGTTCAGGGTCCTGGAACCGATTGTCCCCAGACAAGGCTGCTTGCTTTGGGCATCGCCTGCGACATGAAGCATGATGAAACAAAGCTACACATTTTCTCGGCCATGATTAGGAGCAGGAGCCCTCTGCATCGCCACAGTTGAACAGCATCGGACAACTACACGCCACGGGCTCTGCACTGCTTGAGGGCTGCGCATCTCGCACGCGAACGAATCTGGCGAACTGCGTGTAGTCCACGAACTCGGATCGACCAAGCACCCCAAGACTGGAACGGAGAAGCGAGGGGTTGGAATCTGAGCTCGCTACTTGCGCAAAAGGCAGCGGGACCGTGCTGGCCGGACCTCCGACCTCAGCTATCGTCCAGTCAAGACAGCAAACACATGCTATCAAGCGGGTTTGAAGCAGTTGTTCGGGCCCTACCGGTAGAGACTGAAATCAGAAGAGCTCGTCGCGCAGAATCCAGCATTTAATGCGGGCTGCCGATGCACCGTGCTTGATGCCGCAGGAACTGTGGCGAGCACGACCACTGGTGTGCAACCAGCCGACAGAGCATGTAGGAACCGCATGGCCTCACGTTGCATGGGGCCGCGAGCGCAACGATATGGCGACTATGTGTTCTATCGTTCAGATGCGCTTCTGAGCTTGTAGCAAGGTCGGACACGTCTCCAGGCAACACCTCGCATCGAGCGAGGGCCTACCATGCGCACCCCACAGGTTGCTCCACTCCATGACTTCCTCAGGAGTTTGCCAAGCAGAAGTCGCTCTGCAGCAGAAGATCGTCGAAGGAGCGCACCGAATCTGCGGCACGAACAGCTGTTATTGGGGACATGTCGTGGTGGTCAGTTTTGGCGGCCTCCGAACCATCGGCCAAGCACAGTTGACGGGGCCTTGACAAAGGGATTGAGGGGTAAGACATGCTAAGGCTGCGGCGGTGCAAGCACAATTTGCAATATAAAATGTAATACATACACATACACACACACACACATATATATATATATGGATGTATGTGTATATATTTATATGTGTGTGTCTATATATTAAATGTAACATATACTTACAAATACGAACAACGGAAACATGAACACTTTACATAACAACAAATAACAATACAAAGTACCACGCAGTGTATACACATGCTTAACAGTATCTAATAATTAATTCCCAAAACAACAGCAATAACAACAGAAAGTGATGACAACAACAACAGCAGCAGCAACCACAACAGCAACAACAACAGCAACAACAACAACAGCAGCAGCAACAGCAGCAACAACAACAACAACAACAACAACAACAACAACACCAACACCAACACGAGCAGCAGCAGCAGCAGCAGCAGCAGCAACAACAACAACAACAACAACAACAACAACAACAACAACAACAACAGCAGCAGCAGCAGCAGCATCAGCATCAGCATCAGCAGCAGCAGCAGCAGCAGCAGCAGCAGCAGCAGCAGCAGCAGCAGCAGCAGCAGCAGCATCAGCAGCAACAACAACAACAACAACAACAACAAC